CTGCTGAAACAAAAAATAAATTTTCTGAAAAAAAACGCTCTCTTAAAAAATTAAGAATATTATTCTCAGTATCATTTCTAGTGACATTCTGTAAATATGCTGCATTTTGTACTACTTATGTGAAAATTTAAAAGCAGTTTACAAAGCTCATTTAACTACCTCCATCAACACAAGGAAGTAGATAAATAATAAATTTCCTAAATGCCTAACTTAAGGCTACAATGCTAAAAGACTTGTTCAAATGAATCTGGGGCAGGCAGAACCAGAAACAAATCCTTGTTCTATCCTCTAACTATCCTAACATAAGACAGGACAGGTTGGCTTTGGCCTACAAAAACTCAGGCCTCTCTGAATGGGTAATCCAGAGCTGTCCAACTGGCACTCTGCAGGCAGCCTCTGAGGGGTTAATTTGTGGCTCCCTACATTGCTCTAGCTGCAGCAGCAGCTGGGGTCTCCAGGTTCCCCCTCACTCTGCTGGCTTCTATTTCTTGCCTCCATCCCAGAGGGTGGGGTGGTGCAGTGCTGCTCACAGGGCTAGGGGAGCCCAGAGTGTGGTGCAGCAGGGGATCCCATGATCAAAGGGCTGGGACTGAGTGTGGGGCTGGGGCACATGTGCACATGGTAAACAGGGAGTGGCATCCATTTGCTGTGGGACCTGGGGAACCTGTGCTCACACCGGGTACACAATCACTCTCCTTATCCCAGTGGCTCTCAACCTTTTTAGACTCAAGGTACCCCTCATTAGATTCAAGGGACCCCCTCAGAAAATGCCAGCTCTTAGTTTTCAGTTGTGTTTTTAACTACAGAAAAATAATACAGAGATTCTTCTGTTGCAAAGAATTCAGAAAGTCCAGAAGAGGTCAGGATGTTTTTAATACCATTCATTTCTATTTGAAATCTCTGGTTTACCCTGTGAATCATGTTTGCACACCTAATACTGCTAACATTACACAGCACCCCATGGCACACTGGAAAGGATCTCAAGGAACCCCAAAATGCCACAGCACCCTGGTTGAGAATCACTGCTGTCTGCTTTGTCCTAACATAGTTATCAAAAGGTAAATTCCTTTTTATTACATACGTGACCCTGGCGGCAGGCTACCTGAAGCCATGTCCAAATTTTTGGGATTCTGGGGTGCCAATAGGTCTGGATCTACTCCCACTCCATCTACAGGCTGGGAGCACCACGCTTGGAGCACTCTCCCGTGGTCCTCCCCACACCACTAAATAACTATTTACAATAATTTATTATTTACAATAGTAGTAACTGAGAGCTTGACAAATTCAACATCCCATAAATAAAAAACAAAATATTTTCAACAAGCTCAATAATAATCTATACCAGCAGATAAAGTAAATACTTATCATATAACAAAAACAATTATGTTATCAACTTTAACACACAGGCAACTTATAACAGGTATATATACACTTAGTCAGCCAGGTCTCCACAAAATCACTCTGCCTGCAGCAAAGTAGCCCACTGTGCAGTGCCTGCAGTGGGGAGCGGTGCTCGCTCTGCCTCAGAAGAAAGATGGCAATGCCATCATCTGGACAGAAGATGGGGGTGCCTGTCACGACCTTAGGTGTGGCTGCTCCGGAGACCAGGGTTTCTTCCTTTTCCAGTCTTTCCTGGGCGCCTGCACTCTATCACACCATTCCCCAGACACTTCCCAAGGCAGCTCCCCTGTGTTCGGCACCTGGAGTGCCCCTTCTCAGCTGTACATTATAGAGCTCTCTGCTGGGGCTCCCACACAGCCATGATTCCCTGCTCCTTTCTCTAGCTCTCCCAGAAAACCTCCTCTAGCAATCCCTGTCCCTGACTCCCTCCCAGTGACTCCCTGCACCCAGGGATCTTAAGAGTGGGGAGGGGAACCTCTTTGCACAACCCCTGCTCCTTTAGTAAAGGATACCAGGCAATCCTGGGTACTCATTAGCTTGTGGCTCCTCTGCCCTCAGTAGCAGCTCACTCAGTCACAATTCTTCTGCCCATCGTCCTCTCAGAAGCACTTGTCCTGGTAGCAGCCCCCTCAGAAGCAGCCCTTCTCCACACAGCTTCAGCTCCCCTCTCCCCAGCTAGTCTCCCCTGTTTTTCCCGGGGTTCCCACCCTGGAGCTCCAGCTGTCCAATCACATGCATGCATTCAGTGTGCACAGCCTGCTGCAGAGCCTTGTCCCAAGAGTGCAAACACCCTGTTTGAGCTTGCAAGCTCAAGGAAACCCTTCAGCACCTTTACACAGATATAAGAACCCATCCACACAGGCCCAAGGATGCACTTTCATGGATTCAATAGCGAAACTGAAGCATATTTAAAAATGAAAGCCACATTTATTGGTCCACAAGGGAACCAGATTTTAATGGACTTTTTTTGACAAAGGGGAAAAAAACTCATAGAGTATAAAATAAATGTAGTTTACTTCTTGAAAGGAAAACTGTTTAAATAATGAAGGCAAGGCATTTTAAGAGACTCCGAACAACAGATACCAAACTTATTGGCAGGTACAGACAACTGCCATTTTTCAGCAGCTTTTTCCAATAAGAAAAGCATCATAATTGTGGACTAATTATTATAATAATCTTCAAAATACTGCAGTATCAAGTAACATCACACTTTAAAGGAATCAACATCAATAGAGAAAATCAATCCCTACCTTATTTGAGCGTAAAGACACTCTTCCTCCACATCGTGCACAGAATTTAGTTTGGCAATATGAACAGTTATGGCCACAGCCATCGGCAAATTTTGTTTTGTGGCAGATACCACAAGTTGGGGCATCACCCTTCTGCTCTTGCTGCTGCTGTGATTCCTCTCCCATCTTCTTCACCTGCTCCTTATACATTTCAAATTGTTGATGCAATTTCCTACAAAAGAAAACACGAATAAAAAGCTTTTTTATCTGTGCATACACTGACACAACACGTTTTTCAAAACAAATCAAATAAAAAATACCAGAGTAAACAAAATGAAGAGATTTAATTTATTTCACATAGAAATATAGCTAAAAACAAAGGAGTTAAGGGTCTCAGCACTGACAACATACAATTTACTGTAAGTCAACTGCTATAAAGGATAAATACCATATTGACTCAAATATAAGATGAGATTTCCCCCCATCCTCATCTTAGTCATGTACCAGCAACCCCCCCCACCAGCCACATTAAATACATTAGGTATCATTAAACTGTTGCTAGAAGCAACATGTGCTCAAACATGGAAACCAACTATAAAGTTGACTGAGTTGACTGAATGCAGCCCATGCTGAGCTGAGCATATAAAATACATTCTTTCTTTCTTTCTCTTTTTTTGCATGTCCCTTTAAAAAAAATGGGCAGTAGGGAATAAGCACCAGGCCTTGAGGTACTACAATACTAGGCAGGCACTCAGAGAGATCAGAGGAAGCTCAAACACCCTCCCCTGGTGCCAAAAATGCTGATGGCAACCTTTTTTATTTTTTGGTCCTTAAAAAAAAGGGGTAGGTATTCCCTCCCCAGAAAACTGGCACCAGGTCTGAAGGAACTGAAATACCAGGCTGGCACCAAGAGGAACAGAACCTGTTCTAACACCCTCCCCTTAGGTCCCAAAAATGTTTTTTGTTTTTTTTGTTGGTTTTTTTTAGATTTTATTAGAAAACAGACCATAGCAAACAGTCTCAAAACAACCCCCAACAGAGGCCTCACAGGAGGTAGTACAACATAAGATTTCAAAAATTACAGAATGCACACATCGTAATTGATATCATATTGCCCGTCATCTCATTTATACACGGCATATACAAACATCCCTTAGTATTGTCTATCAAGCACATATTACACTTGTCGTGTCAGTCATCCTGTACTTTTTCAGGAAAAAAACCCAAAAAAACACTGTGTGCAATAGAGGTCCCCTCTGTTGTCCCTATCCCATCTGCAACCCTTGTCCGCCTTTTCTATCCACAAATGCTGACTCTTAACTTAGCCTATACCTATGTGGGGCTGAAACAACCCCCTGAAGTCCAGCCCTTGCCAGAACTTTTCATCCCCTCCTTCTTTCGTATTCCTTTCTCTGACTCAATAGAAGTGCAGCTCGTGCATTGCTAACTGCAGACACTCTGTCGTGGAAAAGCACGACCCCTTTAGAGCCAACAAGGAGCGCAATTTCCACAGGGCTACCTTGGTGCACGTGATCAAAAATGCTCAATCTTAGCCAAAAGGGTGGGTTAGTACAGCCCATCTGAATAACATAGTTCCCATTACGCTCAGCCCCCATCACCACCAGCTCTTATTCCAGTCATAGTGAGCCACTACATCAAATACATTTCAACTTCATCTTCACTCCCACAGCTGAGCTGTGCCTTTCTTTGCCATTTCCAATTATTCCTGTTTCCTCATGAATCTTAAATGTCTGGCAAACATCACCAAACTTCTGTTGCCCCCTGTCTCAGCCTATCACATGTGATTAGTGTGGCCTAACCCTCTATGGCGTAGAGACAGACCAGACAGCCCTGAGCCTCATCTGCATATACATTTCTGGAGGGTCCCAGGACTTGTTACACCAGGGGCAGGCAATTATTTTGGGCAGAGGGCCGCTTACTGAGTTTCGGCACACTATGGAGGGCCGCATGGATAGCCCTGCCCCTTGACAGGTGCCCCACCCCCTGGTTGCCATCTTGTAATCAGAAGTCCCGCCCCCTAACCCCTGACCTTTGTCACCCAAAGTCCCACCCCTTGCCCCCAGAAGAAGGGGTTTTGCCATCTCGGAACCAGAAAAATACCAAACTATATTTTAAAAAACAAACATCTACAGCATTCATTAATTTGATTTCAAAAAATATTTGTGTCCCAATGTACATGTGTTTGTGTAGTGTACACAGAGGTGATTGCACAATAGCTTAAAATCAAATCTTACTCTTGTATATTGTGGAGGGATACATATAAGTTTGTGGGGGAGCTGTGGATATGTGGGTATATGGAATCTGGGTGGGTATGGGGTTTGTGGGGGATTGTGCGTGGGGAGAGGGTGGCTGAGGTATATGAGGGGGTGTGGGGGTCTGCATGTATGGCAGTGTGAGGGGGGTGTGGGTGTATGTGTATGGCCTTTGCCCACACATTGCCCCCGCCCCCCACACATACACACGGCCCCAGCGGCTGGGGGTGGGCAGGGCTGGGCTGCTCAGTTCTGTTGAGGGTTCCCCCTGTATCCTACTGCTCCTGGCTGCCTGTCAGCTTTGACAGGCAGCCAGGAGCAAAAAAATATTAATTTACTAATCTTTTTAGGGGCCCCACGGGCCGGATAGAATGACCTGGCAGGCTGGATCCAGCTCGCAGCCCATATTTTGCCCACCCCTGTGTTACAAGAAGATCAGGTTCCAGTTATGAGCAGTGGGCTAATTAGCACACAGTTCCTTTTGGGGAGTATCTGGAGTACACACACATACTGAGCAGTGCTAACTGTGAGATCACAATGGTTTGAAATGCTGTTGACTCTGCTGGGGCCCAGCCCAATGAACTATATCATAAGTCATGAGCCTTTTGGTTCTGAGCTAATACCAAGCACAGTTTTTATGATGTATAAGTCGGTACAAAAGTGATATCAAAGTTGTGTTATGGAGTACCTGTGTTAAAATTTGCAGCAACCAATCAGACCCACAGCAGTCTCTTGTTCCCCTCTGCAGTTTCTTCCCTCCTGTCTGTCCCTTCCCCCGCCCCCACCATATTGTGACATGTAGCTCACTTCCACATTTTGCTTGGGGGGGGGGGGTGTGGAAACAGAGCCTGACAAGAATGGGGGGGGGGCAAGAAGGCCATAGGGGGAAGAAGGAAAGAAGTTGCAAGGGTAGAAGGCAAGGGGGCCACCTTACCCTCCCAGCCACTATTTTCCTTGCTGTAGGAGTGGGAGGGGGATTAATTCAAAATAATATTCTGATAATTAGATTCTACACCTGGAAAATTATAACACATTTATATATTTTCCATATATAGAATCTAATTTTGGGGAGGTCATCTTGTATTCAAGTAAATACAGTAACTTCACTCTACTGTGAGACCAACTACTGGTAAACATAATACCCTGGCTGAGATACAAGACTGCAAGATAATAAACTTGTCATTATTATGCTAAAGGAAGTCTGATTGATTGACTGATTCTTTCAGAGTGCAGCTTTACCTATTTCTATTATTCAGTACTAAATATACCTAGACTATTTATATTGCTTTTTTCATTCTAGTATGGGACAGATGAATTATTCTTAAACTTCTTATCAAAATCATGCTTTGCCAACATTAGAGTCAAATTTTATGTAGCTCTCTTCAACACAGGAAAGTTCTCTCAATATTGCCAACTCCAACAATTTTAGCACAAGTCTTGCAATAGGTATTTTTGTTAAAGATACAGGTCCTGGCATCAAAGTATTAAATGAGAATCCTACCTATAATGTTAAAGAGTTAAGTTTCTAGTCCTCGTGGTTTTTGAAAAAAAGGGCTTGAAAATTTCACAGAAGTACATCCTAAAGGCTCCAAAACCAGAAGGCAAATAAAAAAACTACACATTATATTTCTTTAAATCTCATGATTTCAGAGAATCTAAATCATGACTTTTGAATGAGTGGTCTGGGCAATACTGTCACTTTTTCTCTCTTTCCAAGTACTATCACTCATTTCTTCCTTCTCCTTGAACTGTGGGAAGGGTACAGAAGGAGACACGTAACAAGAGGAGCAAATACTGGTCAGCATATGCATATGTATAATACCTATAGTCTGGATCAATTTTTACTCTCCAGACATGCCCTTCAAGATCTCTGCTTGTTTTCATATTAGGCTAAACTCCTTGTCCTCGCCTTCCAGGTCCTGCACAGCTTCACTCCTACTTGCACCCTGGCTCACATTTCCTCTGCCCAACACTCTCCTCATAGTGCCATCTCTTCGCTCTTCTTTACACTACTTCAAATTTGACTGAACTAAAGGCCAAATGTTGCCCTGTTACACCAGAGCAGGTCTCATTGAAGACAGTATTCTCAGTGACACAGAAAGTCACATTTTAACTAATGTATGGATTCATAAGTCGGTCCTTTAACAGTGGTTTGAAACTATGTCCCTTTTCTATTCTGTGATTGTAAAGTACCAAACCCCAGAAGGGGATGACAGTATGACAAAAATAAGAAATGCAAGACATTTACTCTATTGTTTTGATTTGTATATTGCACTTATAAGAAAATATCTAGATGTTTATGCATGCTATTATCACTTTCATTTAGAGCCCAGTTCAGCATGATACTTAAGCACAAAGGTGTCCCAGAGTCAAGGACCCTTCACAGAGAACACACTGACAGAATTCATGTTTGTAGCATATTGGGTCATTGGTGCCAGCTGAGTAATAGGACAATCCTGGCAGGTACTTAGGAGTGAATACCCTAGCTGGGTAAGAAAGCTGTGGCTTTCACCAAATTCAAGTTGTGATAATTTATGGAATCTGTCTATGAAGGATTTACATGTTCTGATTTTAAAACTGCTTCAATGGATGTAAGTCATCCATATGTTCTCAGGGCTGATGTAATGTCTTTCTTAGACAAAGGAAAAATGGAGACTCATAAATATGAATAGCTCCCATGGGAGTATCTCAGGACAAGGAAAGGACCGTATTCTTAGTGAAACCAACTTTCTCAAATGTATTGATAAACAGTTGGGCTTTGATGCATAAGACTTTTCCAAGAAAGGGGAAAAACAAAAGAAATGAGTCTTGAAAACAACAGAGACTGAGTAAAAAAATTGAAGTAGGGGATTCACCATCTTGATCTTTCCAATTCAAGGGGGTGCCTTACTGGAAGATGTATTTTAACCAAACACAAGTTATTGGACTTGGTAAAGAAGCAAGATGGTGAAATGCAATG